AAAACACGAATTTTCATATTGTGCGAGTAACCTTTCACGGAAAGGTGCTTCACGCACATCTCCATGACACAGTCAACAGGCTTCATGATCCACTAACGAAATGGCCCTTATTTTACATAAAAGTGTTGGAGGATTAAGGACTCCTTGAATCGCGTGCAAGAGGCGTGGACCTTCAAATAAAGTGCATCATAAAGTATATGATAGGGAGAAGGGTCATTCTGATCTACAATTATTATCTATTTTTTATTTTAATAGGGGATATAATGGGTTCCAATGATGAATCGAGGACGGTAGATTAAGGTCACTCTGCAATGGATTTGTACATGCGCAGAATATAAACACGTGTGTTTGGCCCACGCCAATCGCATCTTCGCTAAGCCAAAATATCCTACATAAACTCTGATGTATGCAAACAGACTAGGGGCATTATGACTCACGTTGCAATCCACGTGTCTTTCCTATGCAAAGGTGACCTTCGAAAATCCTCGCTCACCCGCTCCTCAAGAAAAAGCATCCCTCATTCTGACTTGTAGATCGGTCAGGGGAGGAAACATGCAGATCTTAAATTGCATTAGCGATCAATTTTACTTCTGTGATCAACGGACATGGCCCCAACCATTTATTCCAGAAGCGAACTGTTGGAACTGCAGGCCAGAATGCCAATTATCCGAGTGTCATCAGCAAAATGAAGCACACGATTAAAGGATTGAGGCCACGTCAAATTCGAGGCTGTTGGACAGGTAAGCTTCATAAGACCGCACGAAGGACGAGGAAAATTAGGAAGAAGCCTTACTTTACTTAAGCCTTACTAGCCACAACCTTGATACTGTCTGAGAAATATCCGGAGTACGTAATCATGCAGAAACGTGACAGAATGGGTCGAAGGAGTTTTTTATGTCTGGGTATGCCACACACGAATCCTAACGAACCGACAGGCGTGGAGGGGGAGTCGCGATCCTTATCAACGACTAGTTCTCTAGCCGCGTTCATGTGATCGACTCCAAACCGATCGTGAGCTTGAATACATCCTATTAACCATTAGCCCTTTCACAAATATTCCCGTTCACAGGCCTATTACTTTTGGCTGCCTACGTACCACCAAAGGTTGACAAAACGAATACCATCTCCTGTTTAGAATCAGCGATAGAGCAACCCCGCATCCAATCGCCATAGAAAATCGTGGCCGGCGACTTCAATGAAGACATACGTTCCTTTGGCGGTATGAAACAGCACGTCAAACGACCCACCAGAACTTTCTGCGATCCTCGATCTTTTCTTCAGCAACGCACCGTTTCATACGACTATCATCGCTCCCCAATGCAATAGTGACTATCACGTGATAAGGTGTGGTCCAAGGCCCAAACACTGCATTGCCCAAGGCCCAAGAAAATCAAAGATAATAAATGATGTGATCCCTGAGAGAGAACATTGAACGATTGCGTTTCGAATTTGAGACCACAGATTGGGATGTGTTTCGCGATTATGACTTGGACATACATGCCGAAGCAGTCCAGGGTTACATCGCTTTCGCGTTCGGTTACGAAATCGGAGGAGGGGGGGGGGGGGAATTGTTCATTCCAATATCGTCCTTGCTAAGCAATTTTTAAAAGTCCCTCCCGACTCCGACCAACAAGAGAATCTGACCCCAACTAGATCCACCTAAGCCCGGCTCCAATCAAGTAGAAATAGAATTTACGAAACTGGACTCAAGCCCGGTCCTTGGCAGCGGCAGCGAAGACTGGAACACCCTCGCTTCTCTCTCTCTCTCTCTTCCAGAGACTCCAAGTTGAATTTATATATCGCGCTTCTTACGCGAGTTCACGTCACGGGCAAACTCGGACGCTGAGTAGCCAGAAGATTGAAAGGATGTAACTAAAAATGGTAACAAAAGATTTGGGAAAAGGGTTTGACCCTTGATCCCACTTGACAGCCAATTCATGGAAAAGCCATAGATCAGAAGGCGGCAGCCCATTTATCCTCACTTGTCGCTGTCACCTTCCTCCTCCGTGCTATGTTGAAGTTAATGAGGCACGTACGGAATTCGGTCCCTGGCCAAGTATCGTAAACTCGCGACATCGCAGATTCGGAGACGTGGTGGACCACTCCAAACATCCGCGTACTCCGATCCAATTTGGGAAGTTCTTATCAAGTCATATCCGTATATTAATCCTTTCAGGGCTGAGTTACGAAATACGGCGCAAAAAAAAACATATCGATATCATAGGGTAGTTATGGTTCATACAATGGGATACAAAATGAATTTCACAAATTTATTTATTAATTTAAAAAATACAGACATGATGCCATATGGCATCATCCGCCTTATCAAGAGGCTCCCTTTACAATTTCGGCCTAAAAGTTGCTACAAAGAAACTCCATCAATCATTATTTACTCGCATCAATTTTCCCAACCGATCATATTTCAAAAAATAAAACTAAACAATGAATCACAAAATACTTATGTATTTTGTTTGTTTTGATTCTCAAACAGCTCTTCAGTTGTAGCCACAATCACTTTCAAAGATATGTGTGTACTCAGTCAAACCACTTCAATGCATATACACATTTGAAAGAGCGCTTCAAATGCTATCTGTTGACCACAGAATTGTACAAATTCTCCTCACTAGATGGTTCTGGGGGCACTTTAAAAATAATGATGCCATATGGCATCATAGAAAGGGTTAATGTCATGTAGGTTAGACACATTCATTCTTGACTTTTGGACCATACTTTAGTTCTTAAAGTCTCAACCCCATTTTCAATAGAATCATGTCCAGCACAAGGATAAAATGATGCAGCAAGATGAAATTTAAAACGTCATGGAAGTGACATTTCACTTTTTAATTGTTAATCGAAATTAAAAAATTTTCAGTTTTAATGAGACATTAGGAGAACGTATAGAACGTTTCTAGACACCCCTAGATATGTACGCGCATAATTGAATTTGTTTTCAACTCAGTATGCGGAACCGCCCATATCGAGGCGATAATGAATCAGGACGGGTTGTTCGAGATGAAAACGCACTAATCAATCCTTGAGTACTCGCAGGATGCCTAGGGCAGCGGTTCTCAAAACTGGGAGGCACGATAGGTCATGGGGGGTTTAGTTAAAAAAAAAAAACTAATTACAATGCGCAATTTCAAAACTATATTACAGGAGTACAAGGCTAAACGAAAGCAATCCCCTGGTGCAGGCTTTGAAATTTGATTCTTTTTTCAACGGGTGTTCATTTCCGTCGACGATCTCCCACGGTCCGACAGACGGATCGTGCTTCTCTTAGGTATGTAATTCGAATGCTGCGTAGCGTTGGTGCACTGGCTTTCACTAAAAAAAAAAAGTAGGTCTTTGAAAATTCTCCTCCTGTATGTATAATTTTATAAGTGCGAAAATTCGGTGCAGTTTGAAATTTGAAAATGAGTTTTATGCAGTTCTTGCTGTCTTCTAGTCCCGATATGATCTTTTGCAAACCCAGAAACACGTGGGCATCCTAGGGGGAGCAAACATAGAGAACCGCTGGTCTAGAGTAAAGAGGATATTAGTCCAAATTAGTTCTCTCGCGAATGCTTAACCCTTTCAGACCTGAATTAAAGCCGCTATCAGAATAATATCCTTTTTTGCATTTTTGAGCTCTTTCGTGATTGTATTTGAAAGTTTCATGCTTTATATGTAGTTTTGTAGTTTTCATATTTTGTATAAATTTATCATATCATACCATATATTTAATTAAATAACTGAAGAGTACAAAACTCATGGGTGAAAGAAGGCTCCTGATTGAACTGAGCCATGCATAATTGCGCCCATTTTAGCGTAATGTGGAGCGCAAAGTCATGAGAATCCTAAGAAATTGCCAGAGACACAATGTAAATGCAATGTCCATTAGAATGGACGCCAGGTCTGAAAGGGTTAAAGCGTCAGCATCAGCTCGAACCCCTTTCATTTCCTCATATTCTAGCGATTCATTGCTTGTGATGCAAATTCTCCTCGTGCGAAGTGGTGAAATGGGAATGACCAAGCGGTAGGAGCGAAATCATGACAGGGCATCCATTCAGTCGTCCAAGGTGTTCCTTTTATATATTCCCCATTGATCTTTATTGAGTTATTGACGCTGTTGTCCCTTCGTATCGTTGGGTTTATCGAGAAGGTTGGGAAGCACGTGGACGAGTCCAAGTGAGTGCGTAAGTGGAAACTCCGTTAAGATCAGTGGGAGATCTACCATAGAGACAGGCATCGCGATAAATTGAACGCCTTACACGCTCCGAGTCCTTATCAAGAATGTACCTTTAATCAGTTTTTGGGAACTAAACCCATTATTTTACTTGAACGGCAAGTGAGATTCTGTTATTCTCTGTTTACATTCCACTCGAAGTCGCTGACGATGCTACATGGCGTAAATCTGGGGTTGCAAAGCTGCTTATTTTAAACTGATTTCCATATATTTTACTTGAAATCCCTCGAGATTCATCGTAACCTTTTGACTTCAGCATTGCCAACGAATCTCTTTCTAGCCTGCAATAGTTCTTCTGCACCTGTAATTCTCATGCATGACAGTCCTCAGCTGTGTTTGTTTTGGGCCCTCTGGAAAGCCATGCATGCACATTCACTCGAAGGCAACACTCCAGCTTGCTTCAAAGCACAAAATGCAGTGCAAGGTGGAAGTGAGGGGAAATAATTTCTCCTCCTCTACAAGATCCAGCAACCCTATCATTCGTTCTAAGGTTTTGACATTTGCGCTTCTGCAATTCTGACTCCCGTATTAGCTTGTTTGTGGTTTTGGATTGTAGCCCAATCATGCTGCATGGCTTGTCATAAGCCCACATGGCACCAATGACTTCGACTGTAAGCTTTGCTTTGTACCCTTGTTAGCTCCTGTCGATGCATTTTTTACATATTTATTCATAGTCTTTTTAATATTTACAAACTGGAGACGATCGATGAATAAATTTACTGAATGGCAACCAAGAGATGGAATATGTTCAAGGGGAATAGGCAATATGAAAATGATGAAAAGTGAATTTTAAAAAAAGCTTTGACGGAGCTAAATGGATTAGGGTAGTTCAAGACAGGTTAAAATAACATTGAGATGCCTTAGTCCAGTTTTTGACAAACTGACGTTTTGAAAATTTTCCCTTCTTCCTGAGTTTTGAGACCCATATATTTCCTTCGACTTATATTTGTTCTTTAGTGTAAATGATCTGCACCTAAAAGAGTAACTAGAGCAGCTCTTTGCTCACATCATACTAATGATGTGATGCTCACGTTATCCTCTTATTGTCTTTGAATTCCCAGTCTTATTGTTATTGTCTTTGAATTCCCAGTCTTATTGTTATTGTCTTTGAATTCCCAGTCTTATTGTTATTGTCTTTGAATTCCCAGGTAATTCAGTTGTGAAATGCATCTATTTCCTTCGCTACCATAAGACTCCATAGTATGAAACCACGATGCAAAACCATCAAACAGAGAAAGTGACACTTCTGGAGGAGGGAATACAGTCCCCGGGTGCGACTGAACCTGAAGCCTCTTTGGCTTGGTGTGATGTGTTCAAGACATCATGCTCCGGGATATTTTCGAGGGAGCTCTTTCCGACCTGCAGCAGCTTCATCACATTTGTATCTTACATGGCGCTCTCTATCAATCAAGGTTAGACTATTTTGCTGCACAAAATCTTACGATCGCATGCACAGGAAGGTTTTTTTACGTTGTGGCAGGCTTGATGGTGAAAGGTAGTCAAGATGACAAGAACAAGTACAGCTACAGCACCATTGCAGCTGTTTTAATGACAGAAATCCTCAAACTTCTAACATCCTTTATTATCTACTTTTACAAAGAGTGAGCCTTTCAAGTATTTTCCATAAAAATCTGCAGACACACGTGGCTTCAATGTTTCAATGAAAACAATGTATTTGTTGCTTTTTTTTTTTTACAGTATAGTAAGAATTTTTATGCTAAGACAAGAAATAGAGAATCTCTTTTTTTCCGCAGTGGTAATGTTTGGACATTGTGGCATGACATCTGCCAAAGCCGCCGAGGTGAGCCAAAATTTGAAATCTCATGTTAAATGCGTTTCTGCAAATGATCTGTCATCAATATCTTTGGCCGTCCTGTTTTCAGTTCTGTTGTTGTATTTCGTACCTGCATTTCTATATTGTCTCTACAATAATCTGGCTTTCACAAATTTGGGAAAGTTTGATCCAACAACGTACTTTCTACTACTGCAGCTAAGGGTTGTAGTCACAGGTGTTTGCTTCCAGGTGAGTTATATTTCATACGTACTGAAATTCACCGTAAGATGAACAATAAAAAATTAATCGGCCTATCCTTTAGGTTCTTTTCAAGAAGACCCTCACATTCAGGCAGTGGATATCCCTACTCATCCTCACCCTTGGTTGCATCGTCAAAAATGTTGGGGTTACCAGAGCGCAAAATGCAGCAACAGACTCATCTTCATCTCTCGCTGAAACGATCCTCGCTGACATTATTGTGGCGATTTTCAGCGTCAATATCATTTACATCCTACTCCAGGTGAGATTCAACTATCCTAATGAGGGTTATATGATGTCCTATTTCCACATTAAGCTTATTTGATCCCTAACATGCAATTGGATACAATCAGGTATTTTCATCCTGTTTTGCTGGAGTTTTCAATGAATACTTGCTGAAAGATTATGGTGCCAAAACCCCCCTGATGGTTCAAAACCTCTATATGTACTTCAATTCCATCATATGCAACCTCTTCTTGGTATACTTGGATCAAACTGTGATTCAAATTCAAGATTCGTCTTTAAACTGGAAGAACCTCTTCAATCCCAAGGTCCTTTTGATAATTGCGAATAATGCAGCCATTGGAATAGTGACAAGTTTCTTTCTTCATCAGCTCAATTCGATTTTGAAAGCATTTGCCAGTGCCCTTGAGCTTGTCTTCACGGCTGTACTTACGTGGATCATATTTGGAATTCCCATAGATGGGTACACTATTACTGCTCTAGTCATTGTTATCTATGCATCCCTGTTGTACTCTCAGAGTCCTGTTGTGAATGTGGCCCGAACTGGAAGTTCAAGGATTTCGAAATAAACTTCCTTCTCGGAGATCGAAATGATTCCATTGATCTAGATGGAAAACTAAATGGCACTTAGTACAATTGGAATATGAGTGCCATACGCCATTGCATAAGAACATTATTGTTCTGGCTGTTATGAAGGGTTAAAAAAGCTAATTTGAGGTTTCAAAAGGTCGCAATTCGATGGTTTGAGTGGAATCTAGGATAATAACTTGCAGGGTCAATTTAAATCTATGTAACATGCCCTCCTTGATCCTTACTGTTTAGCTGAGCATAAGTTTTCCATTGAACTTTCGTATTCTTCTCTGTTCATCCTAAAATATGAAACAATCAAGACGGTCGTTCAATTTTGCACAGTAGTTTTCTCTGTCATGGGTCGGTATTTAGGAATACAAGAACACAAGCTCAAGAGCGACCCCTTCAACGTTCGGCCTTATGTGACTCTGTATGGCCCTGGATCTTAAATAGTTAAAAAAAAAAAAAATGGATCGCTGTCAAAAAGGCTGGGAGCCACTGTCATAAGAAGTCCTTCAATGGAATCCAACGGTGGCGCGTGAAGTCTACTGCTTGGACACGGTTACTTGAGCTGCTGGATGGATGATCGACAGTGACCCTGCGATATTGCGTCCTTGCCGATGACTAGGATACAAGTGCGCTTTCGCCTTTTGTCATTCTCTACTCTCTAGTTATATGCTTTCAGATGAAGCCAGGAATACCTTGAGCGTGGGGGAAAAAAAGAAAACAAAGAAAAAAGCCTCAGTTTTAAAGAGTACACTAAATTTAAATATGTACGTACGTACATATGAGAAAATTTAGGCGATCCAAGTCATTTATAACGTCAGCTGAAAAACCATCCATAACACATAGCCCAGGTTCCAAATGACGTGAACGGTGCCCAAGAATGAGTACATAGGCGTGAGAAACCGTGCCGAAAGGCGTCTCGAAACAGGAGTCTAACAATTCTTTAGGCATTCACTTTAGGGTGAGGAGGGATGCCAAGGACTAACGAGCACTGAGAGTAGTGCTCGTTCGATCCTCAATGCTGCGTTGAAGGAGTTTTCATTCGAATAAATTCAAAGTAGTACGAAGACAAACTGCGTTTCGATCCGAACAATTTCCGAGGGACATTCTTTTGCGGGAGGTCCAGTCGCATCTACAGGGTAGCAAACAGGCCACGTCGTACATACCCTGTGCTTTGCACTTTTCATATTTTCATGGGTAATACGAAACAGGGACAAATATTGAAATTGATGAACCTTGCTGCCATAGTGGTTCAGAAGCATTCTGTTGTACTCTATTAGTAATTTATATGGATTAATTAATACTTAATATATTTTCATTTGTGTTTTTGACCAACCTGTACTTGAAACTGAAAAAAAAACTCCAGGAGTGCTTTTAGAGCCCGGATACCTCATATGAATAAATTAATTCCGAAGTTTTGCCTCCAAGGCGCTAGGTATAAGATGTTTTGACAAATATTATAGAGCATCTCATCCTATAGTTCTTTGTATGATGCCTTACAGCCCAGAAATCAGTCGAAGTCGTTGGTATTTCATCTCACTCTGATGCTTTCCTTTAGCGAAATCGCGTGAAATAATGAAGGTTCTGAAGAGAATTAACGATAGTTCTTATCATTATTAGCATTATCTTATCTAAGCATTATCCAGCAAGTGAATGCCCTTTAATATTTATGTCTTCTGCTTGCCTTCTGTTCGGAAATGCCATAATAATTTTTAAGGGGTGCAAGGGAAACTGGTCCATCAAAAAATCACATTCCAAGCTTCAAAAGAGAAGAGTAAAGCTTCTCGAGATTGCCTAAAAGTGAGGAAAATTTGTATATGTAGATAGATCAGTCTTTCAATAGAATAAATCTCAATTTCACTCTTTAATGAAAGGAAAATTAGTCTAAGGATGTTTTGTTTATATTATGCATATTATATATATATATATACAGTATAACCAGTTTTTCTGACACCTCAGAATATTGGACTGCAGTGGAAAGAGACGAAGAAAGTTGACTCGGTTGAGTTAGGTGAAACGCGATTAGATACGCTACGGTGAACAGACGATTACATTTCTAGAGAATGGGTGATTTAACTCACGATAATGGCAAGAGCGAAGAGAAGGGAAACAGACTGCACAACGAAAAAAAAAAGGATTGTGGCCCCAGACCCAATTCAGACACCGCCTCGGGGCGCTTCACTTGAAACCTGAGGGTTCGTCCTCTTCGGTTTTTCGTGGAGGTTAAGAGGTCTGTGCTCGGTCTTTCATGATCAAGGTCGTTCTGATGTACGCTGTTGCTATGAGAAATGCTAACAATGACTTTCGTGTTCTTAGACTATTCTCAAAGGAACGGGGAAAAAAAATATTGGACGTGGCTTCAAAGAAGTCCAAAGCCCTTCGGCATAAAAAAAAGAAACAGGACTTGTTCAAATGCATAGTGGGCCACGCTCTCTCAAAGAGATTCTCACTTTTCCCCCAATGGATTTCTCATCATACACAAACCCTCAAGAAAAACTAATCCCCACACTCCTGCCATTTCCTGCACACTTGAGAGTGAACAAATCACTTTCTTGATAAAACTCTGAACCATGTCATTGAACACATCTACTCTAAAATATACGGAAATCCCAAACATGAAAACAGAACCATGTCATGACACGAGAGAGATGCCTGTTTGTACACTTCATTCGACATTCTCTATCGTGTATATGAGGATAGCAATCGCAACAGTCGCACTCCCGCTTTTGCGTGGTGGGTCGACGGCAGCATAGCATCAATTGCACGCTCGCTTCTGTTACGTTATATGGGCTATTGAGGTCCGTACGAGAAAATGGGAGTCCACTCAGATGGAAGATACGTTCTGTAATCTTAGTAATTACTCAGCAACAAATTTAAATGAAATTTCACAAGTCTCCCGGGAAAATACGAGCTTATGCTCAGTGAAAAAGGAAAGAGCTGCATTAGGAACAGCGATTTATTGACTAAAAATCCGGATTCTTTTCTGCCATATCCTGTAGACCAGGGCTCCCCAACCTTTTTCACGCGCGGTCCCAAAAATCACGAGACATTCAGGCCTAAGTTCGACATGCTCCCCCACCTATGCGCTAAAATAGCAAAGAAAAACATAACTTGACATTTAGCTGCCGGTTCGCGACCCCAGGGTTGGGAAGCCCTGCTGTAGACTTTCGTGAAACAGCAGGCCCACGGCCTACATACCCGACATATAAACATTTAACAAATTAACTGACGATGAATTTCATCTACAAAGCATTCCCCACACATCTATAAATAAATTTAAGCGCCATCTTGTGAACAGCTTCCCTCGCAATCCCATCCCGTTTGCATCGAGCAATAAAAGGAATGTCAAGAACTGGGAGAGGATTGATTATTGAAACCCAGACCTGATAACGGCCGTCAGATGCCAAGGTGAGTTTTCAGACTTAGAAAGGAAAACGAAGGGAACTACGACTGTTATCCTCGCAACAGCATTCTTCGCTTCTTGATGCCCCCCCCCCCCCCCCAGAGGACTCTGCAGTGGGTACGAGGGAGTAATTTGTCATTTGACGAGCAGACCAAATTTTCTTTCGTGATTTGTCGCGCTTGTCACGTTTGAGCAGATGGGGAAAAAATATATAGTTCGACACAGAAGCCAATACAGGAAGGACCTCAAGGTTCAGTTTCATACGGCATGACACACCTCAACCCGAGCTTCAGAGTTTCTTAGTCAAATAAATTGCAAAGAAGTTGTTACTAGACGCTATTCTGAAGAGATGTTGACTTGAATCGGCATAACGATTGCTAGAGCATTGGCTTGAAAATTTGAAAGGTCTATATGCCCACAACAAACGCAAACGGACACGCAGAACGTTGAGCACGTACCGTTCTATCCCGTCAGGAGAGTAGAATCCAAGCGAACCATCGCAAATCACTTCCTCCAGGGGCTGTTGTGAAGAGGCCCAGCGGCTCCAGAAACGAATCGAGTCTGCGTGGTGTGAGTCGCTTAGGTAATAGGCCGTGGCAATGCTCCCGTTAACCCCTCGCATCGGGAAAACCTTTGGACGAAAACGACAGGTAAAACGTGTTGAAACTCAACGTTGCACGAACCGCATTATTGTCTGGGCTCCAACACGTACGAGCTATGACTTTCATCTTGGCGCGTTCACGACTGATTGCACAAGGCTGACCATTGGTTTTCGAACCGTGATCCTTCAGCACGGGCTTCAGTACGCCTTACGAAATAATGCATTCGAAAAGGACTAATCAAGGAAAAGTTATGATCAGTGATAACTTGCAAAATTTCCAAAGCCCAAAGAGAAAATGATGGAAGGGCGTAATGCTCGCCTCATGCAGAAAAAGGAGTAGAGCCACCCCAAGTGCAATCCCTCGCTCCTTCACGTTCAAGGTCAGACTGGCTGTGGCGGTTCGAAGACGGATTGCTCTTGCGCGGCGATTGGTCGTCTATGGTGACGTCATTTCGGGAGCCGAGAGACACGTATACTGTACTACGCGACGTATGCTATTCCGTCGCTCGTGTCGTTTCACATTGGTTTGGTTAGGAAAAGTAAGTTCTTAGAAGAGGCGGCAGCTGGGAGGAAACTGATTAGGTAACTTAATTTACAAGTCATTTTACTCTTCAGGGAGCCAGCAGGTGGAATGGTGGAATAGAATTGTCGAAGGGAAAACAATGCGAATAAAATGACAAAAGGTCAAGGACTCGAATGTCGCCTCTGAGCCGATGAGGATGGAAACGCCTCGAATCCCAGAAATTCCATGCACGAAATCCTTAAGCGTACTTTCAAGTACTTTTGTGTGCAGGCAAATTTCACCCGCAAGATTCGAATAATCGACGGCTTTGTCACCTCGCACAAGGAATAATCGCTCTTGCTCCGATTTTATGAATTAATTGATTGCCTGAAATCGGTAGTAAAATAGTTTTTATTTCCAATGACGAACCCTCAGTCGCACACTATATTGGACCGATAGGAGCCTAACGTTGAACCAATATTGCAATTCCCAATATTGACCCAATTCAATATATTTCTAGTGGAGAAAAGGGTTATGTTATATTGCAGCGTGAGCTTCCAAAAGAAAGTGAGACTTTCGCCTTTTTTCGGCCTTCGAAATGATTAAGAATGCTGATAATTCTCGTGGGTCTTGTATTGTGTCGAGAAAGCGAATTGATTGATTTTTGGTTCTGTTTTTTAAAATATTGAGTTTTTTTTTAAATGGAGACTTCAATTCCTTGGGGGAAATGAGTGCAGCATTTTTAAAAACTTAAGATACTTGGAGCGTTATAAAATCTAGCGTGGGAGGGGAAAATATGCCAGGAGCGTCAGAGGCATCAAACAACTCAACAACAGATCAAATAGCACTGACAAAAAAACAAAACAAACAGGTGATGTTAAAATTAAGTCTTTCATTAATAGCAATTGATCAGTGGAACCTGACAGAAATTGTCTAAATGCCACTGAAATTCAGACTCTCAAAGATCTCGAGAATGATCACTCACTCATCTGAAGGGCTTCTTGGATTTTGGGCCAGGGGAGCGTCCCCATTTCTCGAAACTCCCCTGTCTAAGCATGCTGGAGTAAAAAATCGTAAAGGCAGACTAACCGGGAATTTCGGCGCCACGGAGCACATGCCGGTAGAGGTGCCATCACCTCACATATTTCCCCTGGAAGAGGGTATCGACTTTTCATCGATATCCTCAAAGATTATTGACAATTATCTCATTTGATATATTGTTCCTCAGTTCGATACATTACAATGGTTTGGCTAAGAGGCATGCTCTTCAAATAATGCTGCGGTTGTCAGAAACAAGAAGTAAGACGGATTGGGATTCTATCGGCTCCGCGCGCAATCGAACTTGGCCAAGGTACTTCAAGGAAGGAGGGAGCCATATTGAAATGTGGGGTCCGTTCACTTCGAGCTGACCTGTAAGTGTGACCCTCACCTTTCTCGTGGGCCTAGTCCTTCGTTCTCTTTCCTTCACTCACCTAGAGATGTATAAAGCCATATAGGACCAGCTTTCTCCAGTTCTTACTTTTACCTTGCAGTATAAGTCCGTGGTGGTAGCCAATGAGCTCATCCAAACTAGCGTAGGCCTATCAGGTAGTAACTAGCCCTTCGACACGTGATTTGCAATTTAGTTCGGACAACCTTTATCGTCGTTCTCGAAGTTTCTATGGTGCATGCAAGGAAGTGAGAGCATATTTTCCCTGAAAGCGCAGGCAATTAGCCTTTGAAACCCATGTTGTAGGTGATTAATGTTTATTTGCAGTACCATGATACCCTATAGGCTAACATCGACCATACAGCTAGATGTAACCTGTAAATCAGTTGGAACTTTAGGGTGAGTATAAGGACCAGTACCTAGCCTGACATATGCAGGCCCAAAATCCCCTGGCCTAAGATCACGTTGTAGAGTGTTATTATGCAGTTAGTGAAAGGAAGTGCAAGAACACGAGTTCATTTTTATTACAAGAGCTAAAAGCAGCGCTGGTGAAAGTATTGGAAAGGTTTAATCAATACCTTAAAAGCATTATAAAAGGAATCCTCTCTGGCATTAAAGATGGAAATTTATTTCAAGGTCAGCAAGCCTTGGAGATGGCTTGTGGAATGGACATATATAGGCCTTGGTTGACCAGGTGCATTTGCTCACCTGTACGGTTGTGGAAACTTTGGAGGGGTTGGTTTAACAAACCTATTGTATGAACTGCATTGAGTACAAGTTGTCCTAGGAATCTTATATGATATTGAGAAGTTTAGATATCTCATTTTAAAAATTCTTGTCTTATTGGAAGCTGACATTGTGGCTTCAAAGTTAGGTAATTGTCAACACTTTCTGATGTTTACATTTCCTTTGCTGTTAGATACTCAAATTTACTTATTATGTTTGCCTTTTAAGTTAATCAGTAATCAAGTAATCAGTTTAAGTAGCTGATGTATATTATTTTGTGAAGAAATGAATGGACTGAGGCATATACTATTTTTGCACTTTTCCCCTTGTATATTTACTTGGCCATGCCATACTGTGACTATGATGTTCCTTGAAAGTGAGCTAGGTTTGTTTCTTGCCTTTATAGGCCTGCTGTCTCTTGAGATTGAGTTGGAGAAAGAAGCTCATTGAACCCTTGGCTGAATCTGGTGGTTTTGACTGTGGCCATACCATGGCTGAAGCCAGTCCTCCTATCCAGCTTCTCCAGATTCTTGAGAAAACCGTCTCACCTGGTAAATTTTTTGTGCTGCACTCATGAAGAGAATGTATGTCATGTAAAGTGTGTTATTGAAATTTAAGGAAATTGTGAGAGACCACAGCTTGGGAGTGTTTATGAAGCTACTTCAAAACCTTTTTTTAGGCCATGGCTTATCTTATGCAGGCCATCCATAGGTGACAAGTCATGGGTGTATGAAATTGTTCTTTAAAACATGGATCCATTCATATAGCATAGTTAGTCTGCTGTGCGTGTGCATTGCCAAGTGGCAGAGTGTGCCAAATTTAAATTTTCAGAGGCTTATTTTCCTCATAATGAGACATGACTTAAAATTTGCCTACAGATTGAATTGCTCAAATGTTACCTGAGAAATACTCCCACAAAAGCCAGGGAAGCTGTATGCACATCCCTGTATATATAATCCAAGAGTATCCTGGAGTGTGGGAGACAAGAAACAGGATAAGATAAAACAAGCTAGATCAGGGGTGTCAAACCCAAATTGGTCAGTGGGCCACATTCCTTACCCTGCAGATGCCTGCGGGCTGCACCCATAAAATTTCACTGAAATTTGTGCTGACACTCAATCCATGTGGAAAATTTCAAAAGCAGATGGCGGGCCGGATGAACCACCTCTGCAGGCCGGATCTGGCCAGCGGGCCGTATGTTTGACACCCCTGAGCTAGATGATTCATTTTCAGTATCATTTTTGTGTCTTGTTGTTTCCACAGACCTGAATAATTAAACATAAACCCATTTTTAGATTTTTCAAGTGCCACCATGCATCTTTCTGAATTTGACTAGGCCTGTAGAAAATATGAAAATTTACCTGGGATGTACAGGACACAAGAACATGTTTCATTGTTTTACGAAGTTAAGTTGCAGGTGAATGAAGGTTTTATGGTGTTGGCAGTTTCTGCTGGCTCACCTGAGAAACCATGAGGTTAATCATGTTCAAAAAAATTTTCTATACTGTTACCTGATGTGGTACATTGCACAGTTCCTGGAATATTACATATTAAGAATTCTAGCTGCTTGTCCATTTTTTCTGCTTGTTTTAAAGTCAATTTTGCATAGAAGACAATGGTAAGGAAAGGAATTGATGATCTAAATTGGAATTCCCCATCATTTATTTTCCCCTGATTATTCTTAGTTCTTAACTACTAAACATGCATCTGTGTCTTGCTGCCTCTTTGATCTAATTTTTTTGTTTTTATAAGTCCCCCATCCAAAATGTGAGAGGCATCTTGTTTTGGGTAATCATAAACCTGATTGTTTTGAAAATGCTTCTAGACAGGAATATTTGTTTTCATTAGCACAGGCCTAAGGTCTTTTTAAGGCCTAAAGACTTTATGGAAAATTTAAATGTTGCACTCGGACTTCCATCTAGCATTTAGTGCATTACAGAAGGGTTTTTTTTCTGTCTGAATGATCAATAACTACCAATTCCAGAGATCAGAATAAGAGCAAGAAGTGGGAATCTGCAGTAAAATTACTTTATCTCTGAAAGCTTCCCCTGCTAATTGAGACTTTGCAACCTGCTGTTGAAACATTTAAATATTAAACATTTGAGTCATATTTGGTTAGGTAATATTATGTGTAACTGGAAAATTTAAAAGACATGGCTGAAATGGAGCTGTTGGTTTTTATTTCAGACAAAAATGAACTGGAAGCTGCTCAGCAGTTTTTTGAGCAAGCAGCTCAACAAAATTTGGTGAGTATGAGTCTTGCATTCCATATTGTATAGTTTATTTTTCTTCATTTTATTTTCTTGGAGGGAGTTGTGGTTATTTTCAGTTATGATGACTTTGTGTTATTCTTTTCCATCTAGGCTGAATTCCTGAAGTCACTCTCAGATGTCTTGAAGCATGCCACCAATAGCCCAGTGGCTCGCATGGCTGCTGGCCTTCAAATCAAGAATACAATTACCTCCAAGGATCCTACTGTGAAGCTACAATACCATCAGAGGTGGCTCTCTTTTCCAGAAGATATTAGATCGTACATCAAGAAGAATGTAAGTTTTAATGTTGTTTTATGGGTTTCTGGCAATTACGGTCAATGCAAAAGTGAAAGTTGCACATTCCACTCATTCCAGGTCCTGGATGCGCTTGGAACTGAGACTATGCGGCCAAGCACAGCAGCTCAGTGTGTGGCTTATATTGCAGTGGCAGAGCTGCCTGTCAATCAGTGGAATGAACTTATCCCTCTCCTCACTCAAAACATTACATCACAGACTGGGAATGAGATGGTGAAAGAGTCCAATCTGGAGGCTCTTGGTTACATCTGCCAAGATATTGTGAGATGTTCTCACATACTCATCAGTGCTACTTGCAACCTGCCCCAGATTTTAAACTCATTCATTCATTTATTCTCTGCATTTAGGACCCTCATGTACTGGTGAACCAATCAAATGCCATCTTAACAGCAATAGTTCATGGAATGAAGAAGGAGGAAGAAAATGAGCATGTCCGTCTGGCTGCAACCACTGCCCTTCTGAACTCATTGGAATTTACTAAAGCCCAGTTTGATAGAGAGGTTAGTTCACCTTAACAGTTTCTAATGTTTTTTATTTGACTCAGAATATCCTTACATTAAAAGTCCCCATTGCATGGGCATCCATATGAAGTGAAGAAATGTCTGATACAAGTAAAAAAAAATTAGCATTTTGGAAATTCTTTGTGTAAAGATATGTCAGAATTACCATAAATTCAGAGATTTCAATATTTTGAAACAAATATGTGAAGACCCTAACTAATTCAATGTACAGTTTCCAATTGATGTCAGTATTGTACCAAATTTTACTGTTATGATTGTTGAGACTTTTTCTTATGATCCACATGTTCATCTGTTACATGCAGTCAGAGCGACATTTCATCATGCAAGTTGTTTGCGAAGCCACTCAGTCATCCAATACCCAGATACAAGTGGCAGCCCTGCAGTGCCTTGTCAAGATTATGTCATTGTATTACCGGTACATGGAACACTATATGGGACCTGCCCTCTTTGCTGTGAGAGACCCTCTTGTCAAGTATCATGTGTTATTTTTCTTCAATATATGTTTAATTTTTGAGTGTCTGTTTCTTTTAGATCACCCTTCAAGCCATGAAGTCTGAAATAGATGAAGTGGCCCTCCAAGGGATTGAATTCTGGTCAAATGTTTGTGAAGAGGAGATTGACCTGGCCATTGAATTGACGGAGGCACAGGAGTCTGGTCGACCACCCCAGCAGACATCTCGGTTCTACGCCAAGGGAGCACTACCTCATCTTATTCCTGTTCTCATGAAGACTCTCACCAAACAGGTGAGACCATGCAGGTGGTGAAGGGGATTGTCTCATTATGGAATCACAGAATGCATCACTTATGAATAGATTTGAATGGGAAGAATGTTTGAGTGAATCTGTGGTATGAGAGAGACAGAATGGCAAGACAGTGTGGGAGGACTGAGTGAATGAGTGGGTGGGTTTCATGTGTGCCTGTTGAATTGGTTCTACCAGGAGGAATGTGATGACATGGATGACTGGATCCCAAGCAAAGCTGCAGGAGTGTGTGTGATGCTGTTGGCTTCATGCTGTGAGGATGACATTGTCCAGCATGTCCTTCCCTTTGTCAAGGACAATATCAAACACTCTGAATGGAAGTTCCGAGAAGCTGCTGTCATGGCATTTGGTGAGCCATGTTCTTCCAAAAGTCCCTGGAAATCACAAGGATAATAATTTTTCCATATCATGTCAAAGTTGAGCATTTATTTGGCATGCTCAGTATATTTTCAATTTGCTAGTTAGTTTTGTCTTCTTCATGTCACAAGAGACCATGCTTCCTGGTGATACAGTAGATGTAAAGTCTTTCCATTGGGAGGAAATACTAAGATGTGAACTTCCTTCCAAGGATTCTTGTTCAAACTTTCTAATGCACATCAAGCTTTTCTCTTAAACATGCTGTTGAACATCACATACAGTACTGTTACCATTCCCTTTGATATGGTAATGTCATACTCAAAAATGCTTGGCTCTTTCATATTTTTACAGGCTGCATATTGGAGGGTCCAGACCCAGAGATGCTGAAACCCATTGTGGTCCAGGCCATGCCAACACTGATTGAATTGATGATGGATCCTAGTGTGGCTGTTCGAGATACAACTGCATGGACCATTGGGCGCATCTGTGAACTCATCCCAGAAGCTGTCGTCAATGAGACCTTCCTCAAGCCTCTTCTGGAAGCCTTGGTGAAGGGTCTCCATACAGAAGCTCGTGTTGCTGCCAATGTGTGCTGGGCATTCAATTCTTTGGCTGAGGCAGCTTATGAGGCTGCCACTGGAGATTCAGACAAAGCTCAGGAACCAGAGACTTATTGCTTGTCTGAGTTCTATGAAATCATTATACAGAAGCTTCTAGAAACTACAGATCGACCTGATGGAGCACAGGTGACTACATGCTGCATCTATAGAAAAGTGACATTATTTTAAGTAGTTCTATGAAATATAATGGCCTGGTTTTTTTTTCCTTGAAGCATAATCTACGTAGTGCAGCATATGAGGCCCTCATGGAACTAGTGAAGAATTCGGCCAAAGATTGCTATGAGGTCGTGCAACGGACAACCATCATCATCCTGGAACGGCTTCAACAAGTCCTGTCAATGGAATCTCACATACAGACGCATTCTGATCGGATGCAATACAATGATCTCCAAAGTCTCCTCTGTGCCACACTCACTGTAGTCCTCTTGATCTATTCAACATTTTGCTTATAACTTGATGTGTTCTGACTCACATAGTTCATTTCAGAGTGTGTTGCGGAAGGTCAAGCCGGAAGATGTGCCACAAATATCAGATGCCATCATGACAGCCCTGCTACAGATGTTCAACTCAGCATCTTCCAAAGCTGGGGGTGTTCAAGAGGATGCTTTTATGGCTGTCTCAACTCTTGTGGAAGTTCTTGGTGCTGATTTCATAAAGTACATGGAGGCCTTCAAACCTTTCCTTTTGCTTGGACTTAAGAGCCATGCTGAGTGTCAGGTGTGTGATCTTTGTGTGAGTCACAAATCTGAAGAAGAGCTTGAGCTTTTCAAATGTGATATTTCTTTCTTTTAGGTGTGCTCAGCTGCTGTGGGTGTGACTGGGGATATTTGTCGTGCACTTGGAAATAAGGTGCTCCCTTTCTGTGATGATTTCATGGCTGAACTCCTAACCAACCTCAGTGTAAGTGGTGGCAACATACATCTTTGAGAGATTTGCAGACTGGTAAATTTACAGTGCCAAAAAGAGTCCCTTTTTATGGGCTTTTTTATAATAGGACTAATATGTATTTTTTTTAAAAGTAACCTCTCTTCTGATATAGAAGCTACAGGAAGTGAGGATAGTTAGGAAATCTTGTTCTGGTATTAAAAGGAAATTTAAACAAAATTAAAGCAAAAAAAAATTAATTCAGCAGTGTGGGATTTTTTTTAATAGTGCCTTTTTTTCTCTCTCTCTCTCTCTCGCCTTTCTATAACAACAATCAAGTAGATTACCACACAGCTCTAATTTTACTTTTTCACTTGATTCACTGCAAGAGGGAAAAAAGAAAACTTCATTCCAGTTTGCATGGGTTTCTTCACATATACTCAGAATTGTGGTCACACATGAGTAGTAGCATTATGAACTTACTACATAAAAATGTATACTGCTTCATTTGTAGAACAACAATGTTCACCGGTCAGTGAAGCCCCAGATCCTGTCTGTATTTGGTGACATGGCTCTGGCAATTGGCCCAGAATTCAAGAAATATTTGGAAATAGTGCTCCAGGTGGTGCAGCAGGCTTCCATGATCATGGTTGACCATGTGAGTGTCATTGATTATATTTCCTACTTCCATTACAGAAGCATTGTATCCAATTGACTGACTTTGTTGATCTGTATTACAGTCAGACTATGATCTTGTGGACTACCTCAATGAGCTGCGACATGGTTGTCTGGAAGCGTACACAGGGATCATCCAGGGTCTGAAAGGTGACGAGAGTGCACAAGCAACTATGAATGGTCCAAACAACGACTTGAGCATCGTCAAACCACACGTCCCCCACATCGTCAATTTCATCATCGTGATTGCTCAAGACCCTGATAAATCTGAGGATTGTGTTACCTCCTGTGCTGGACTTGTAGGGTGAGGTTGCTTTCTGGGGACTTGTGAACAGCCTTTAATAGAAAGGATTAAAAAATGAAGCTTTCCTTACTGTATGTGCAGGGACTTGTGCACTGCTTTTGGATCTGAGATCCTTCCTCTCGTGGATAAGGAACAGGTCCATGGGCTCCTAGGACAAGGCAGGCATTCCAAGAACAGCAAGTCCAAAGCACTCTCCTCCTGGGCTGCCAAGGAACTCCGAAAGCTGAAGAACGCTGTCACTGTTGCTTCTTGGTGAGTTCCCCCTTGGGCTGAATTTCAAGAATGGAAGTTCTGCTGTCAGCAAGTAGTTTAATTTTTTTTTTCCTTTTCTTACAGATGATCATCCATTGCTGGGAAATTGCACTGCAGTCTTTTGTCAAGGATCATTCTTTTAAATTTCTTAGACTTTTCCCTGTGACTGATTTAAGATGAGATGGAGAAGGCTGAAAACAGGTGGCCATGCTTCATGTCTTTGTTCATCTCCCCTCTACTATTTTTTTTCATTGTGTTTCTGTCTCAGTGAGCTAGCATCTTGTCACAATATCAGATTAGGGCATATCAAGAGGTTCTCGGTCTCAAGAAAGGAAACGGTAAGAAGAAAAGCTCTGTGATGTTGCTCCCCAGTCATCTATGTTCTTCTATTTTATTTCCTTCTCCTTGCTTGGAATTTGCTTCCCTTTTTATTGTATCTTGTATATATATCCCCAGTCATCCCCTCGTTCCAGTTTGAAGTATGGTTTGAATGAAAATGTCGATGGGAGCTAACTAAGAAAAAATTCCTTTTTTCCTTGGAAAATTTGATTGTTGCACTCTTCCCGGTTTGGAGTTGTTAGGGAAGGGCAGGCCTCTCTTCCACTGAACTGGAGGAGAGTGGCTCTCCTCGAGCTGAAACCATTTTGTGATAATCTCTTTGCGATTCCAATTTGTTGCAAGTTGAGGGAGAAATAAATAAAAAAAAAGGAATTTTTTTAAGAAATGAAAAACTGATTTTTCTTGCTTCAGGATGATCGTGCCTCTGCGACTCAATTTAAAAAAATGTGCTACCTTTGCTTTCCCCCTTTGCAAAGGAATGCTTTCATCGTAGCATTGTCTAGCATCACAGTCTCAAGATCAAAGGTTTATAGATTCTACATATCCTTGGGGAGTAGTGGGCCTGTTCGATAATTTTCATTGGCTCATCTGTGATGCAGTCAGATTTATTTGAACAAAAGTGAGAAAGCCATCGTGAAAACGGGATAATCAACAGATATTCAGGCTGTGATATGGGAAGATTCCTGCTAGGTTATCTAATCTAGGCTTCCAGTCGACGTTCGGGTATAACGAAGGGGTTTTATTTTTTACGTTTCTTTTTTTCTTTTTCAAGTTTCCGTTTTTTCGTCCATTCACATGCAAGTATCTCTAGACTAGAGCGAAGTTCTGTATTACCAATTGTTCGGTTTTACGAAGTAATTTTTTCTTCAGACGGAACATAACTGCGAAGTTTGAGTCAGCTATTTTCGCGCATTCCTGCAAAATCTTCTTTCTAAATTTGGCATGCCCCACCCACTCATTGGTGTGACCATAGGGAATAAGGGAGCTCAGTTGGCCTTAATCTTCTCAGGATCTTGGGGGTCAGGATCAGCCCGTGTCTAGAATTCTGCTCCGTCAGGCAATTGAAGCCTTCAACCATCTCCGACTGTTTTTCAAAGGCCGAATGTTGACTCTGAAACTTTTCAAACATCGAGTACTCTGCAGACCATGACTCAAAGAATCGTCGAGGAAAACGCGCGACTGACAACCATTTGGGACTTGTTTCCAATTCGTGACTCGTCCGAATTTTATTGCTCCTACATAAGGAACACACTTCCGTGCACGCCCATTTATGTACGTACTCTCATCTTGGAAGCTGCATTTTGTAGTATGACAGTCATTCCTTCGCTTTTTTTTTCATGAATGGACGACTGCGTCTTTTTTTTTTGGCAATAAGTGACCTTTTGTTGAGGCTTTTTTTTCTCCCGCAAAATGTGGGGATTTTCCTAATTACATATTTTTTACCTACCCCTTCGAGTTCGTTATATCGAGCGTCGACTGTACTTCAAGTTTTATGTTTTCCCCGAGCTGTTTGATTTCAATTAGCCCGATATTGGTTACGGGTAGCCCAACCCCGTAATGCCCAATTTTTCACAATCTGCCACCTCGGAGATTGTTGTCGGACGGCTTGAATTTTTTAAATATAATTTTTGTGATAATTATAACTGAGTAATGATATTGTAATTTTTCCAATTGTTAAAATGGCTTTTAAATTGCAAAATACGAGCTCGAGTAATTGAAGGTTGCAAAATGTCAATGAGGTGACTGCTCTCTAAAATTGAAGGGTCACGTTTGTGACCCGTGGGCATTGCAAGGTTATAGATTCCGGATGCTTCGAACGATACGCATTCGCTAGCTTCGTCTTGACAGAGCCTTAAATATTATTATTCTATTATTGCTCACCTGGTGGATTGAGGAAACTCGGGACTAGATGCGATCACGTGGGATACGAAACGAGGCCGACGAAGGCTATTTTGTCAATGCCATCGGCTTCAGTCGACTAACGTGATATGTTCCAGCCGGCTTCCAAGGGGAGTCAATTAGGCTTACAAGTGCAAGGGCATAGGATAGTGTGAAACATGTCATGCGGCGGATCGTATCACAAAGAAGTCTGAAAGGGGGAACAGTCGACCCTCGGGTACTACGATTCAAGTACTCGATAAGAAACGGAAATGGGACCGGCGTGGGCGTACCGGTCGCCAAGGAGAGAATAACAGGTTGCCAACAGGTCGCAGAAACTGGAAAGAATGAGCACCGGCGTCTCGAGACGAGATCGGCCATTAACGCCAGAGATAATCTGGTAATATCTGGCATTCCGTTTAACGACGGGTCACATTGCGCTTATTAGCTCGAGTTAGTACGCTTTGCCGTGATAAAAGAGATCGTTAATGCAAGCGGGTCGAGTTAACTTGAAGCGGCGAGCCCTGATGGATTTCAGCCGGTCTTCCTCGGAACTCGGCGGAAAAGTAATGAATTAATGTTTAAATTCATGATATGCCGTTTTCGCCGGATAATCCCTACGGATCCGGAATCGACTTAATCTCCCGATCTGTGAGAAGTGCGATGAAAGCAATCCAGCCTGACCATCTCACTAGTCTTCAAATTTCAAGAGTAGGATTTTATTCCAATTTGAATCTCTGGAATTTATTTGGGTCTCGACGCTGTTCTCCCCTAGAGGTCGCTCGCCAAATTGCAAATTTCTCGCCGAATTGTAAGTTCTGTTAATGGCTCAGATGGCTTAGGGGTTTAATCAGTACGAAAGAAGTTCCCATTACAGATTGGGCATGAGCGAAGCAAAATTGGTTCGTGAAGTTCAGAGAGAATAAATTTAAGCCTTTCATATCAGGCCATTTTTAAGTCTGGACGCGTTGGGTGACCCAATTCGTTGATTTTGTTATTGATGAAGGACAAATTTTTAGAGCATCGCCGATTCCAATGGAATCATGGCGTTCGGTTACCGTTATTTTATCGTGGCATCCGGCGCTGGTAAGGCCACGTGAGGAATTTCGAATTCAGTTGTGGAGGCCTGTGAATGAAGTGCATGTCGTGCGAAATTGGGACCGCCTGTGTAATTCATTCGACCGAAAGTCGATGAAGGGAATCTCGTCAATGGGCGAGGGGGCCCGGTTCAAGTCATCCAAGCCCCGAGACTCGGTTGAGAAATGACGTCATTACTTGTCTGTTAATGAACGCGTTGCGTTTCCCCATCTGTGGTTAACATTGGGAAATTGGATGCCTTCGTGGGCTTCGAGGTGTGTCCATATAGAGCACCTCGAGACAAGGTGTCCCTATGAAGCACCTCGAGACGACCTCCACCGCCAAATAAACCATTCGATATCCCTACTGCGGCTGGTCGGTTCCAGGGCTCGGTTCATGGATTGTTAATTGTACGTTGGCAGATTTTTTAACGGGAGCACGAAGCGAACGTCCGTCGTGCGAGAATGAGTTTCTCGGTGAAAAAGGACGTGATCGAGGAAGGAGACACGGTGATCCTGTACGTGAACTTCAACTCCATCCACGCCCTCCGCGCGCAGCGCCACAAGCGGAACAAGAAGGGCGAGGAGGTGGAGCACGTGTTCCAGACCTCCTTCGGGGCCCTGCCCGTGAAGCGACTCATCGGGCTGCGGTACGGGTCCAGGGTGGAGCTGCCGAGGGGGTACGTCCATGCGATGCATCCGACGCCGGAGCTGTGGACGATGGCGCTGCCGCACCGGACGCAGATCATCTACACGCCGGATATCAGCTTGATCGTGCTCAATCTCGATCTGAGGCCGGGGTCTGTCGTCTGCGAGGCCGGTAATTGCCGTCGTGCTCCGACGCCAATTTGTTGATTTATATTTAAATTATTTAAAATTATAAAGTTATTTATTCCATCAAGAAAGTTCTGCAGTGACGTCGGCCTGCCTGCACCCACCGGTGCCTCGAGACTCTACGGGCCGCATTCGCTGACTCAATACCATGATGTTCTTGGTTAAAATAATTTTTTTTGTGGTTTTCGAAGGAGTTCTACGCTTAATTTAGCTTGATTTCGAATCTTTGATTTTGCCCGAAGTGCCGAAGCTTACTCTTCTCGGGATTAGATGTCGATGGTAAGACACGGACAATGATTATTTGGGTATAAATAAATAGATGAACCTGTGGGGTCTCTGAAACCCACGAAAACCTAGGTGAACCTTTTCGAAGTCCTGAAGTTACCTCGGCGGGAACCAAGAACATCGAACTCGAAACTCGTCTGATGAACCTTGATCGGTCCAACTCAGTTGGACCAGTGAAGAATAGTAGGAAGACGTGTTCATTAATGATAACCAGCTGAACATTCACGGCGCACTCATCCAGCCGAATCGGATGCGTTCCATCAGACACCGATGGAATTTTCAACATTCTTTAGAGCCTTGCGCGGGCTGCGGATCGGTCCGATCGGCCCCTGCAGGCCTCTAAATGGGGAACGTAGCCTCGGCTTGTTATTACATATAATTATATAGATATATCGTCCATAAGTCCTGCCCTCGTTTTGGAATGCATTCCCTGTTGTGAAGGAGACCTTTCATTCTTTTCCCGATCGGTTTTCGTATGTCTTTGTTTCTCTTTCGAGGAGAAAATTCGACTTTTCCGCCGGAAAGTTTCGACTGAGGAGCGATAGGTGCCTTAGCGAGGCACCGAGAGGAGCGGGTTGTACGATGGCGTTTTTCCGTTCGGACCGATCGTTTCATGATTGGCACGAGGTGCGAATCTTAAATGCATTTCGTGAATTGGCCGACTTCCTGGAATGACATGGGTCGGAGTAGAAAGTGAGGAAGATGTGTCGATGTGCATGCCACAGGCGCCTCCATGCAATCAACCTTGCATCATTTATCAAATGGTGCAATAGCTCCTGAACGAATTTGTTTTAAGTGTATGGAATTGTTGATTTATATAACATGGCATGGTAGCAATTTTTATGCTATTTTTTCGCCTAAAATTCTCGTGAAGAATGTTTGAGAAATAGATCTCTATGGTATTATGAGATAGGGTTAAGTTATAGGTTATAGTTTTCGTCAACGCATAGGGTTGAATTACCGACACGATGCTTCTTGGTGTTCATTGCTACTAGGAACAAAAATTTTTGTTTTCTTGGATGAAAGGTCATTCGACGAGAGACTAAAGCCCAAATGCTGAAACTTCGTTTAGTTAACGGTCCTTCAAGAATGCATGGACTCCTAGGGAAGAAAAGGGACCTTTAGCTTAAAGGCCCCTTATCTCCCCTAAATTTAAGTTAACGTTTTTTGTTTTCTCCCACAGGGATCCATGTATTCATATGGACCGTTAAGTAAAGGAGGTTTCAGCATTCGGACCTAAGGTTCTGTGCTGTACCAATTTCGACCTGGCAAATATTTTCCCCTGTGCAGAAAATCCACTCCAAAAAGAGAGGCAGTGTTTTTAGATTTATGCTAGACGTTTCTCTCAGAACCGTGTGCGTTTGCGATGCAGGTACGGGGAGCGGCTCCCTGTCGCACGCCCTCATCCGCCGGATCGCCCCGTCGGGGCACCTGCACACGTTCGACTTCCACGCGCAGCGGGTGGAGAAGGCACGGGAGGAGTTCGGGGAGCACGGACTGTCGGAGTGGGTGAGCGTGGGGCAGAGGGACGTGTGCGAGGAGGGGTTCGGGGTGGAGGGGGTGGCGGATGCGGTGTTCCTGGATCTGCCGAGGCCGTGGACGGCGGTGGGGCACGCGGTGAAGGCGCTCAAGCGGTCCGGTGAGAGTCCTTCCTTGGGTCGGGGGGTCAAGCAGCTCCATTTCGGCTCGTTTCAAAGGAGGCTAGGAAAGAAAGGAAGGGAGGAATTTTGGGAATGCTTTAATGCGGCGAGGCGTGATTTCATCTCCGCCCCGTTCTCACGCCGATCCGCGAATGATGTTCACGAGCGTTTAGCTTATCACGGCTTTATCAAACTTGTTTACACTGGAAATGACCGGGTCCGGGACAAAGCACCGGACATGGAATCGTGTCTCGACCCAAAATAATCTCATGATGATGGGATAGGTCGTGCTCGACACCCGAGACCCGGCCTCCATCGAGGGACAGGATTCCCCCCCACTTTTTTTTTTTTTCTCCTCGCCTTTCTGTGTTGGTTTTTGCGCAATCCTTTCGGATCGCGTGTCGCACTTTGGGGAGGCGGGGAAGGAATCCTTGCGAAAAAAAAGGCGCAGAATCGAGAATTTGAGACTCCCCGCTCCGATTTCCGGTGTTTTGTTTCGCTTCATCTCATCAGACTTTTTCCTTCTCTGTTATTTCTCTGTCCAATTCAAACCGAACGACTTGATTGAAGGAGGGAAGTAACGGAAGGAGGAGGAGGGAAGGGTGGAAGGAGGAGGGGAGGGATGGAGTGACCTTTTCCCATCCAATCTGACGTAGTTACTCACAACCCCATGCTTGTTATGTTACCGTTATCGGTTAGCGAACGGTGTGGTTCTCGAGAAAGCTGGAAAAGTTTCAGTGCCGTTGCATCTATAGAGCAAAAAAGCCGTGGCAGATTGGCAGACACTCACTAATTCCTGCAAAATTTTCCGAGTTTAAGATATCTTTGTAGCCATACCAAATCACCAAACAATAAGAAAATAGCATTATTCAAACTTCATAGTAGCACTAACGAAACCATTCTTTGCAGTTTGGGACATAGGAAACCGACGTAAATCGAATCTCAGCAGATTTGCAGGTTTTATATCCATCGTTCTACAAGGGGGGGGGGGGGGATTGTGGAAAATTACGAGGTTTCGTATGGAAATATTAATTGTAAGGAATTATGTGAAATTGTGGAAGAACCGTTGCCGTGGTTTCCCACGCTTCTCCTGGACCGCATTTCAATTAGCAAAGGGTAAACCTTGTAAATGGTTTTCCCTGTTCTTGCTCAGAACGTTTTCTTGCTCAGAAATACAGCGTGACGGTCCTCCCATTTCGTTAAAAATTTTCATTCATGCATCCACAATGTTGGCTTTTATTTTTTTTTTAAACAGTTTTGCAGCATTTTGTTTATGTTTCATCCGCGAGAATATTCTGTTCTCCATGCATTTTTACTGTATTTCAAAAGAAATTGAAGAGGGAAAAAGTCGCGTGGAAGGGATATTTTGAATGGTCAAAAAATGTTCGATCCTACTTGCGCGAATTCTGGCGCGATTCTCTTTTTATTTATTTATTTACAAAGTCCGGGTATTATGTGGAGTCATTTGACCCCGTGAGCGACTCGAGGCACCACCGGAACAAAAACCGCAAAAATGTTTCAAAAGGAATAAGTGAAATAAAAATAAATCGGCGTTTTGGAAGGGGTCAGGCCAAAGTACTTTCCGGGTCATTTAGTCGTCATTATCGCCGATAGATGGCGAGACCCGGGATGAAAAATCGACAAAGCCAAAAAAAATATAGGGGTTTAGGAAGAGATCGTCGGAGGGAAGGTTAATTCCTTGAATGGGGATCGACCTTGACGGTGACTCGGTCGATTAGCGACGAAACAATGAGGGACCGACGACCGCAAATCGTAGGCTTCGCGAAAGTTTTTCACAAGGGGGAGGAGGGGGGGGAGGGGGAGGGGAAGGGGGGGGGGAGGGAGGTCCATTAATACGAAAGCTTGCCGTAATCGGTCTCAATTGGGGTGATTAATGTTCGATCTCGGGGGGGAGACCCCGTTGACCGACGACGGATGGAAATAAAATTAAAAAAAGAATGAAGAATGGAAGAAAAAAAAATTAAAAGAAAAACAAAGCGGAAATCGTCCAACCTCGTCACGAAGACGAATCTTCCTCTTCTCGGTCCCGCGATACGATCAGATGATGAAGAGGAGTCGATAATCGAGCGGGGCCTCATCGGTGAAAGTGGGATGGACCGGGGGGGAGGGGGGGGGATAGGGGAAACAAAGGACTCGACTTGGGCGATCGCCCAGGGGTCCCGACCCCGGCGAGGGATCCAATATCGACGGGAATCAGAAAGGGGGGGGGCAGGGGGGCAAGGGGGGGGATCTCCGCGTTCGTACGCGGGGATGGCCGTGATGGATCGGGGAGGCCCATTACGAAGCATCCCGCTGACAGGGGGCCCATGTCATGGGCCCCAGACAAAGAGGAGGCAGAAGGGGGGGTCCCGGGCATTGCGACATTTGAATGATGTGCCGGCCCTTTAATTCTCCGGCGTGCTCTTTCTCCTTGCATGATATTAAAGGCGCCTTGCTCTTTCTAGCACCTCTGATAGGGATCTTTTTTTTCTTTCTTCTGGGCGGCTTTTGTTTCTTCCGGACTTCCCCGCTCGCTCTGGTTGCTTTTGGCGTGTGCAAAATTTTGGGGTTTGCCATTTTTTTTTTTAGACGAGTTTCGGTTCAGTCAAGGTCGAGAATGAATTGGGCAATTAACCGATTTAGCAATCTTACAATCTGCCGGTCCAGGAAAGTGGCACACCCAATTATTAAATTAAATTTTGGCGAAGTTCTATTAACTTCCAATTTTGCAAGTCGTGCTTTCTCGAAGCTTTTCAAGACGAACGGAAAACTTGAATGTTTGCAAAGAGTTCACATTTTGTTCGATGGATGGCAGCACTTGTAACTTTTCTCTTTCGAATGATAGAGGATCCAACCCGCCAGATGGCAGTGACATCGAAGAAAATGAAACCTAGATTGAGAAAACATAAAATCGAAACATGCCTATTTGGCAACCCTGTGATACTTAAAAAAAAAAACTTTGAGAGTTTAGCGGCAGATCTCTCGGGAAAGCAGAACACATTTTCCTCCGCCGATTCCTGCACTCGGACCGGACATTAGAAGGCCTGATCGGATATTTTTTTCAGGGAGAGGCCGGCGACGCCTCGCCGTGTTCACGTTATTTTCTTCGTTCTGCTTTAGGCATCGGCATAGGCAGCCTTGCAACCTGATGGCCGATGGCGCCGATGGTGCAACACCGGCGGCCGATACCGCCGATGGTGCAACACCGGCGGCCGATACCGCCGATGGTGCAACACCGGCGGCCGATACCGATGATTACATCGGTCCAGCCCTTATATATAATTAAATATTTTATATTGTTGCCGATTTGCGACCAAGCAAACGTTATTTAATTTAAACGCAATGTGACGTAGCATCAAATGGCTCACGCTACTAACGAAGGCATACATTTGCATGGGACACCCTGTACCAGGAAATGGCAGCAGGCAAGTAGCCGGGCAAGTTGCCAGCCGAGTTGCCTGTCCGGAATTCTCGTCGGGGAAAAAAGCACCATTTGCGTTGGTTGCTACTCATTAAAGAAGTATTCTGCTTCTCAGAATCTCTCGGAATCGCTCGGAGACCCGGATGCAAGAATCAGAAAGGTTTTTTTTCCCACGTCATATTTGACTCATCGCCTTGATGGACGCGGGGAGATGAGACCACCCTGCCCGGAGAGAATAAATATCTCTCCCCTCTCTCCTCTTTAGTTATTTTTAAGGAAAAAAAAAATGAGGGGGGGGGGGGGGGGGGGCAGGGGGGCAGATACAAGGAGATAGCTCAGGGAAAGGTTGTTTGTTCGAGGAAGCCACTTTGTCAATTGAGTGGCATGTCTTGTCGCTCGTGCCGGCGACAAGTCACGCCACGTTCCGGATTTCCCATCACGGGCTATTAGCCCAACTATGTGTCTCTCTCTGTCTCTGTCTCTGTCTCTCTCTGTCTTAGTCTTTGGGGCTTTCATCTGGGTTCCCTGTCATTCGGGCTTCAATGAAGCTCGGAAAATGATTCCATTTCCTTGCTTCGACGCCTTTCTGGGGGGAAAGAGGGGGGGGGGGAGGGGGGAGGGGTGAGCGGATTCTTTCCTTGGGGGGGGAATCACGAGGGATTCCTCGACTCGTGAGGGATTCCTCGGCTCGGGAGGGATTCCTCGACTGCTTGTTTGCTTGGAATGGATGATTCCTGTCGTCCGTATTCTCGTTAATGAAATTTGAAGGATTTTTCCAAGCGGATTCGTGAGGGAAAGCCGGACTGGGAGGCAGTTGCGTTCATGCAACTGCCGTGTCGCGTCCGACGGTTGCCCGAGGAAGGAGAAGGCAACGACTTCATGCTAATCATGTTAAATCCCTTTGTTATCGTTGAAAAAATCGAAACCAGTTCCGACTTGACCGAACTTCAACGAGTCGACTAATAATGAACGCATTTGCCATTCAAAAGCCACTAATTTCAAATTTTACATGGAAAGTGAATTTTCGCTCATTTATTAATTATTATTGTTATTGGATTAATAATAATAACGGTACGCACAGGCGGCCGAATCTGCTCGTTCTCCCCCTGCATCGAGCAGGTCCAGAAGACCTGCACCGCCCTGCGCCTCGCCGGCTTCACGGACCTCACCACGTCCGAGTGCCTCCAGCGGGACTTCCTGGTCAAGACCTTCCTCCCCCCCGCCTGGCCCTGGGGGCCGACGAAGGTCGGTTGCGCTCGGGTCGCTCTGGGTTGCTCTGGGTCGCTTTGAGCTCAGTCTTTGCTTGATTTCCAGGTTAATTATGGGAAAGAAACTTAATTAACTCGATTTAAAAGCTTAATTTTCCTTCATTCTTCGCGGAAGTTATAGAAGTAGCAGAGCGATAGAAACATCTTTATTTTCTTCTTTTTTTAAATATATACGTTTATATATATATTTTTTTTCTTTTTTTTTGCGACTGTGCCTGCTGCGTACTCCATTAAACATTTTTGTTTCCAGGCCTTTTTTTTTTTACTCCTGCGAGTAAATAAGGCAGCTGATGCTCTCACCCGGCCAGATGGGAAGAACTCGTCGGCAGAAACTCAATTGAGATGGATTTCTTAAAATGCCCCCTTAATGCCCCCCTTATTGCCCCCTTAATGCCCCGCTCACATTCGGTAGGACGATCGCGTAAGCCTCTTTTTCTCTTAAAAAAAAAAGATGAATAAATGAATAAATGCTTGCTAAATCTCGCCAGGATGGAGCTCTCGTACTGCTGAATCCATCTCTGCCATTGTTCCCAGCGATTAGATAATTAGGTAATTAAAATAATTGATTAGGCCAGGAGAGGCGGGTCCCTTTTGCCTCGCTAGGATCTAAATTTGGCTGATGAAGGGAGTGCCGGGGAGTACCGGGGAGTACCGGACCGGTACCGAGAGGAGTCCTCGGGCGTGCATGGACTCTGCATTGTTTATTGCTTCTCATTTGCACCGAGATTGGCAGCTATAAAAAATGGCGCGCGGAATTCACTGCGGCTTTTATTCGTTTCAGGATCCGAATCGTCACGTCTCGCGTTTGCACGATCGATCAAAAGATGGAAAATATATATTATTTATTTTAAATTATTTATTTTAATTTACCTTATGTGTTTTACATGATCTATTTCATTCTATATTATTTATTTTATTTTATTAATATCATTATTCTGGAATTGTGTTTCGGGGAAGCGAAGCATGAAAGGTGTTTAAACGGGGGAGGGAAATCCCCGCATGAGGTAAATGGGTCTCAAGGATTGATGGCCTACTTTCTTAATCAATTAATGCAATTAGGAGGGGCCCGGAGCTCCTCGCCCCGCCGAGAGGCGATCCCCGATGTCATTCATCAGACGGGCTTCCTATATATAGGGCATCCCTATATATGGGATGGCAGGGGGGGAGACTTATGGAGGCCGTAAAATTGGATTCCTCGCTCGCGGAAGACGAGATCGTAAAAATCGCGGTCGTAACTTTTCACCCACGGATGTGTTCGCATGTGAGAGGATGGTGATATTAAAAAGGAATTAATAGGTACGGGGGTTATATAAAAAGGGGATTTGCATCTGTTATCGCGGCCAATTAAAGTGGGTTTTTTTTCCCGCCGGGATCGGAAACCTTGACTGCGGAACCTTGACTACAGATCGATGGGAAGGAGGCTGCGGCGAAAGGGCTTGTTTCGTCTCGGGAGGATGGAGCGGCGGAGGTTTCGCTGCCGAAGAAGAGGAGGGTGGAGGAGGGGGTGACGGGTGACGAGAGGGTGACGGATGGGACGGACCGGAGGATCAGGGTGGCGGTGCCGCAGTTGAAGATGCCGGGTCACACGGGGTATCTCACCTTCGCGACGCTGCTTCCAGGGAGAGTGTCCTTCGTCCCGGAAGAATCCTCCGTCCGGGAAGAGTCTTCCGTCCGGGAAGAGTCTTCCGCCGTGTGCGAAATGAATTCTGTGGAGAGTGATGAGAGGTGAGAATAGAATGTTGTTTTTGATGGGTTGTCGTTTTTCGATCGTTCGTATGCGTTGAGGTGTATCGGCGTATGTTGGCTTCCGTCCTCGATCCTCCTCGTCATCGTTTCGGGAGAAATGGAGAACTTCCGGGCGTGACCGTCATCTTGCACGATCACTTTCGTTCGGTGACATTTTGGGTCCGCACGTGCACGTGAGGTCCTCGATCCGAAGACGACCCTTTCCGTTTCGTTTCCGCCTTTGCAACTGTCCTTTCCGGCGTTTCCTGGAGAATTCCTTTTTTTTTCCAGCCTTTCGTTGCCGCCTTCGATCACCGCCTTCTGTTGCAATCTCATTTCTGCCGCGTGTCGCAACCCCGATTCGAGGAATCCACATCGCAATCACACAATTCCCACGATAATGGAGTCGTTCCTCCGCCGCGATCGGATTGAATAGCGGAGAACGGAATTCCTATTGATTACGGTTATCTCGCGAACGCGGTCATTCCTCACGACCTCCCTCCCTCACGACCATCCTCACGGTGACGCCGAGCCCCAACCCCGTGGTTCCCATTCAATAAATCGCAGAGATTGTTATTCTATTGTCGGGTAAAGGTCGCGAATCTGCCCGTGACCTTCGCAATAAATCCTCTCGCCTTGTAATCTCTGGAAACCTCTGATGGCACGGAACCGAACGGGAAGGAACGCATTTAGATAAGATGGTAAGATCGTATCACAGCCGGAAAAAGACCGGGTTCTTTGCTCCTTCAACCGAACAAAGAGAGAGAGCCCCCTCCGCTCCCATAAGTCACGCTAAAATACATCTCCGGGTGACCTCTCTCTGTTTCGAGAATTTCTTTTTTTTCTCGTACCACTTCGCTTCAAGGTGGTACTAGGATCTGCGATCAATCACGAGTTTGTCAGTGTGCAAACACACCCATCGCGTACTCCCCGAATTAAATATTCATTTTTAATATTTCCGTACCGAACGACGAACGCTCGACTATGTATTTAATATATATTTAACGCAATATATTCAAATATTTTGACGGGAAACGATTCTGGGCAGAGCTCGGAGACCTCGGCCGGTCGCGAAACCAGTCCGGAATTTTTTAAAAGCCATATCTGAACGGCTATGAAAAATGGGCCGAAAGGAGTGGAAAAAAAGGAGAGAATGCCAAGAATGCGAGGAGATGCAAAGATAGCGGCTGGAAGAGTGCGTGTGTGTGTCCTGTTTGGGTAATCGGGGGGGGCATGGGGGGGGGGGGGAGGGGGGCATAGAATGCAAATGGAAGAATGGATGGCTCTTGGCCCGCGATCGATCAGATCTCCCGGTGAGGACACAAAGACAATGAGAGCGGCTACCGTGCAGTCCCTATACGTCTCTCTCTCTCTCTCTCTCTTTTGCTTATACATCATCGGGGTCTGGAGGAGATGGAATTTTTTTTTTCTTTTTCGGTTTGGAGAGGATGCCATTGCGGTGACGTCAGGAGGAACTCCCCGGAGTGAGATGGATAATTTCCCGGGCACTGTGCCCCGCTTCTGGTCTTGCATAACTAATCGCGTCGGGGGAAAGCCGGAAAGCCACCTCGCGAGCCCGTCTGCTTTTTTTCGCGTCTCGCGGCCGTTTTCGTGTCTCGCGGTCGTTTGTTTCCGTCGACGAGGCGACCGTCTGTCGATTCCGTCGGGACGCAGAGGGCTCTGAGGGCTGCGATCGTGGAGTCCCGCGGGTTCACCTAATCGGCTCGTTTCGGCTCGTGATGACGTCAGACGTGCCGCGAAAGCGGAGTGTCGGCGCCTGTCGCGGAGACCGAATCCCTTCCCGAAAATCCCGCATTAACTCCGCATAAATGCGGAAGAAAATCGCAAGGATGAACTCAAAATGCTGCGTCCGTGCCCGCTCGCGACTGGACTGGACGCGACCGCGACGGCGGAACCCGCGATCTCTCCGCAAATTGCATCCCCTTCGCCGCGGAATGATCCGGCACTCGCATTCGCATTTTCTTCAGGAGTCCTCGTAATCGATGAACGGTTCGATCAATGCTGAAAAATCTGCCGATTTCGACGTCGTCTTGTGCCATTCCAGATCGGCGACGAAAACGAAAAAGCGCAATTTCGATTTTGCATCCGCGGATAACGTCTGTTGAATCTGATGTTCGCTAATTGAGCCAATTAGCTCATTGCAGTCTTTCATGAGACGTCTCGCTCCGACGTCTCTCTTCAGAGATGAGACAGCCGTGGGCCTTTGTGGGGAACAATAACGAAGGAAAGTGCATAACCTGCTCTGAAACAAAGCAAAAATTTAATAAAAAAGTATTCCAAAAGTTAATCGAAAGATAACAAATTCTCGTGAGCTACCCCTTTCGAAATGGAGTAATAATATGTGATAATTATTTTTAAATAAAGGAAGAAATAAAGAAAACTACAAGGGCTTAAGAACCCCCGCGACGACCCTTTTATATTTATTATTTTTTAATTATATATCTTTTTAATTTTTAAAATTAATTATTCACACACACCCTGAAAAGCGACTTTTCTTGAAGCCACCGCCGATCGACATCTCGGCCTCGCGAGCCGAGGCAAATCCGTAGCCAATTGCGCGAGTGATTAATGGCGCCGCGTCTGGATCCGTCGCAGGGCTTCACTTAAGCCGTCACAAGTGTCAGAGGTCGTCGCCGTCACCGTTTAGCGTCGGCTGCGAGGGTCTCTCGCCATGCATGACGTCAGGTCGTTGGGGAGAGGTCGGGGAGGTCACTGTCAGCCCTTAAAACTATATCCTATACCAGCCATGGGATTTTTATAATTGGTAATTATTTATTTCCTGGCCCCGAGCACTTCCGCGAGTCTTTTTGCGCGCGCATTCTCGAACCGATCTGCCAAAAAGTGAGCCAATTATTTTTTGCGAAAGTGTTTTGGCAAGTCTTGAACCATGTGCCAATTCGCGCGTGAAACGGTATTTTGTCGGAACTCTCCGGAATTTATGTACCACTCTGGTCCTTGCATCCCCGTGCAAAGCTTTGACATCAGTTTTACATTTCCTTGAAAGTACTTTTGAGTACTCCGAGTACCCGAAGCCGATCAGTTGAGACTTTCGAGTCACGACGACTGAAACCGATCGACAAAACCTATTAGTTGCAGTATGCCGTACTCCGAATCCGTGTCGACTCGGAAGCTGGCGTCGAGTCCGTGTCGACCCGGAAGCCAACGTCGAATCCGTGTCGACTCGGAAGCTGGCGTCGAGTCCGCGCCGACCCGGAAGCCAACGTCGAATCCGTGTCGACTCGGAAGCTGGCGTCGTAGAAATGTTTGTTTGACGGCATGCCTCGCCAGGCGTGAAGAGAGGCGACAGTCGGATTCCAATGAGAAAAAAAAAAGAGAGGAAACCTTCTTCTTCCTCTTATTCTTACCGGGGCAATAAAAAATGTTAAGTGGCTTTCCCTGTTGATTGGACCAGGCATCGGACCAGGCATTGGACCAGGCATCGGACCTGGCATTCCACGACTTCCACGAACAAAAGCGGGGCTCCGTTTTCTTCTTGCTCCCCCCCCCCCCCTCCCCTTCTCTCTCTCTCTTGGTAATTATATATCATATATATATATATATATATAAATATCGGTAATTATGTATGCATAAATAAATATGTGGATGTTTGTGTGATCGTGAGGCTCCTTCTATAAAGCCCGCAATTTTTCGGTTATTCCTCGATAAATGCGTCCTTTTTATGGCGCTTGATCGCAGCAATTCGCGGTTCGTTCTCGACTGGGAAAATGACTATCGAAGAAAATGACTACCGAAGAAGAAAAAGTCTCCCCCCCCCCTCCCTTCTCACTTGATTCTCATCTCGATTTTTATCTGGGATTGAAATTTGTCTTAGGGACTTTTTCCGGCGAGAAGCGTTTAGAAGTACTTCCCGGTACTTATTATGTAAATGACCACCAGCGAAAAGTACTCAGAGTGACGCGAGTGGCGACGTTCGCGGAAAACGGCAGCAAAACTCGGCATCGAAGTCCGAGCACGTCTCGACGGTCGAAAACAAACGAGAGACTCGACTGGTGTCCTTTTCCTCCAAGGCCGGCTCGTCGGCGACGGAATCCCACCCCATTCAAAGAACCGGAAAGGACATCTCGGGCACCATAAAGGACCAAGCGGCCTTAGCGGCGACGGGCCAAGCGACCTCAGCGGCCACCCGACCCGACCCGACCGCTTCGTTCTCGTCCGTCGCGCGAGGCCTTTACGCTTCTCTCAGAAGATCCAGTCCGTGACCTTAATTAATTTTCCTTCGAGTCGGGACGTGATGGCTTTGCATACATTTCTTAATTCTTTTTCTTCGTTATCGAGGCCTTTCGATCCGACGAGGCGACCCCCCCCCCCCCGTCCCGCCCCGCCCCGCCCAAACGAGTTTCGATCGTCTGCATCAACCACCAAGGCAATTTATTTTATTTTTTTTTCCCCCAGGAATACGTCGCATGCCCGTGGAGCCGCCTTCATCCACGGTCGATGGATGAAGGCGAAGGCGGCTCGCCCGCACATCCCTGCCTCCTGGCTTTTTCACCGGTTTGCCTTGAGGTTAAATTACCTAATTGCCCTTACCAATTATCATGAATTGAATTATCATGAAAAATGTCGCGAACGCACTCTGAAATTTTTATTATTATTATTATAAATAGCTGCAATTATATCATATTTCTTGGTATGCAGGAAAATCTCTAATTGAACGGAATTCCTCGGAAAATACCATAAATACTTATCAATATCGCAGGAATTAATCGATTAAATAACTCATATTTCGCAAGCAATGAAAATCAAAATGATGAAACGATCCAAACCTGTCGCACAGAATTCGCATTCGGGAAGTACCAGTTAAGCCGAGTACCGATTTCGGTACTTGGGACAGGGTGCGGTATGAATTTTTTAATTAGTGCAATTTTGCGAAAAATTCGCGTTCAATTTTTTTTAATACTGACGCAATTTTGATCGATTTCGTTCGGGACTGTTACCGTTGGTTAATTACCATTAATTACCATTTCTTATGGAAATTAATTGAAAAGG